ACGTCGTCCCATCCCAAATCCTTATCCTGACCCCTTCCAAGTGCTATATAGTCGTAATGGCTTGGCGCTTTCCCCTGATAATTTCCCTCCTCAATCTTAAAAAAAAAACTAGTTAAGTATGTTTATAAATTACACAAATTCGGTTACGCAAAGGAGAATAAAAATAATTAATAATAATAATTCGCGTTGCAGGGACAGGAAGCCTGTGTATATATATACTTTAGGCTTATTTCAATGTCTCCCCCCCCCTCCGCCCCAAGGTCAAACTATTGACCCTACCCAAGATGCAAACAGCTCAACAGTTGCTTAACTCCCGGGTATCTATTTACTGCTAGGTGAACAGAGGCATTAGGTGAAAAAAAGGAAGCGTGCCCCCCCAACCATTTCTGTACCACCCGGGAATCGAACCCGGGCTCCCCCGATTGTGAGTCAACCCGTCCACTCACATTATATACGTCTCGTTTGTACGAAATGCGACGTATTACTTAAAATTTTATGCGTCTTAAAACTGACGTTTTCCGTGCTACAGTGTCGAGAGGTTAAGTGGGTTGAGTGGGTTTGCACGTTTCTCGCTAGATAAAACAGTCGTATTTGTTACGTTGGGGCGCCTCAAGCGAATGGTTATAGGGTTCTCTCCACCTAAACAATGACATTCGCAAAAAAACAAGAAACAAAAAAATCCCCACTGAGATTATAACTTTCTCCTCTGTACTTAGCTAATGTCTCTCCCCCTCGCTCTCTCTCTCTCTCTCTCTCTCTCTCTCTCTCTCTCTCTCTCTCTCTCTCTCTCTCTCTCTCTCTCTCTCTCTCTCTCTCTCTCTCTCCTCAGCTCCTCTTCTAATCATATATCTTCGCATTCTGCTCCTCCTCTCCCTTTCTGTCCCTCTCTCTTTATCTTCTCTTCCTTTTCTACGCTTTTAACCTCTCTACCATTTTCTTGTCTTATTTTTTTTTCCTATTATTTTTTTTCCTGTATTCTCTCTCTCTCTCTCTCTCTCTCTCTCTCTCTCTCTCTCTCTCTCTCTCTCTCTCTCTCTCTCTCTCTCTCTCTCTTTTCCATCTCCCTTTCACTCTCGCTCTCTCTCTTTCTCTTTCATTTTGTTCCCATTCCGCTCGCTTTCGGGAGTTTAAGATAGCACAGATCTTAGCTGTTGCAGATCGCGATATCTAGAGGTCGTAGTCTAATATCCCAAAACTGTTAAGATCACAGCTTTATAAACTTTGAAACATCAGATGCAACGAGATTCAAGCGATCACGATATTTGCAAAGGTCGCCCGGGACAAAACCTATTGCGCGCAATCCGCGATATCTTCCACTCACCAGGATCCGACGATATACGAAAAACACAAACAAATCGCAATTCAACCCCTCCCCCCCTCGCAAACAAGACCTATACACCACACGAATATCGCGATTATGTGCCTCTGTAATCCTTTACACCACCGCCCACGGGATGGGTATGGGGTGCATAATAAAGAAAGAAATTGAATCGAATATCGCCGATAAAAGATAAGGTACAAGATATACTTTAGCACGCGTCGGGGTCGATTTGTAAAATGGTGCATATGGCAAGTCCGGGATTTTATCGAGCAAGGTAGCATCAATCAGAGCGTAATTGCTATATCGCACCTGACATCCCCTGACCTCCTGATGGGTAACTGGCCTTGTTCAACGCGTCCTGTTTGCGGCGATGATTAAGGGGGGGGGGGGGTGGAAAGGGGGTGGGAAGGGGTGGAAAAGAGGAGGAGGATGGGGAGGACGAAATTGAAATTGAAATTGAAATAAGTTTATTGAGGTAAAATACACACAAAGGGATGAGGTAGCTCAAGCTATTCTCACCCCGTTACGAAACGAAGGACGAAGGAGAGAGAAGGGGAGGACGAAGAAAGAGGAAATGGAGGAGGAGTAGGGAGAGGAAGAGGAGACGTAGTATAGACAAAGAGAAGTTTGTTATTCTGTATTTTGAAAGTTCAGCAACATTGTTATTTTCACAGTTTTAATTTAATGTTTATCAGCTTCTATGTCGAATGTGTTTTACATTCCGGGGAATTAGTGGTATTAGTGTGTGAACGTTGCTTGTGAAACAGGACTCTGGCTGTAACCTTGTGAAACAGGACTCTGGCTGTATCCTCATAAAACAGGACTCTGGCTGTAACCTTATGAAACAGGACTCTGACTGTACCTGTCAGTGATACAGTACATCTATGTTGTTGATATTAATCCTTAAAGTGTCTAGGTGCAGCATATTATAGTCTTGGCGTATATATATATATATATATATATATATATATATATATATATATATATATATATATATATATATATATATATATATATATATATAATTTTGTTGTTATTGTATCGTCATCGTTAGGCAAGAGATGACTCGACTAGTAGTGCTGGATTTCGTGCTTTGACGTCTCATGCATTGCTGGGTCTGCAACACATGCAACACTGATCATGCGAGTAGTGAATGAAGAGGATCACCTTTTGTTGCAGACTCACTTATACACACACACACACACACACACACACACACACACACACACACACACACACACACACACACACACACACGAAAGGAAACTATTGGAATCAAGAGAATAATCTAGCCAAACTGCATCTCTCTCTCTCTCTCTCTCTCTCTCTCTCTCTCTCTCTCTCTCTCTCTCTCTCTCTCTCTCTCTCTCTCTCTCTCTCTCTCTCTCTCTCTCTCACCCATGTCTACACGCTTTCTTTTCCATCCGCTCCTCTCTAGCTTTCCGTCCCCCCTCCCTCAATCCCCCTCTGGAGACGCCGCGGCTGCTGTGAGAGCTGCCAGTCACCCTAAGTGTCAGTGTGCCGTCGCTCGCATCAAAGCCCAGAGGCACCAGAGGCACTGATTGGCACGTGGGAGAGGAATGGGAGAGTGAGAGGAATAGGGAACATCTTCACTTCACTCGCAAGAACCTGTGGAGGAGGAAGGGGGTAGTGTGACCTTGTGCAGTGAGGTTTTACATGTTCCAATTTTTTGTCTTGCTGGAAGAGTGAAGGACCTGGAGGCGTGTTTACGTGGGTTGTTGATCGATGAATGCGGTTGTTTCCTGTGTGACTGGAAGAGGGAAGGGAGAGGGGGGGAAGGGGGGTATGGAAGAGGGTGGGATGGGAGACGGGTGGAATGTGAATGGGAGGGTGAGAGGAGGGGGGGGGGGGGCCTTCAAAGTTTTGTTTCAATTCTCGGTTTCACTGACAGAGCTCAGTTTCGTTTGCTCTCTCTCTCTCTCTCTCTCTCTCTCTCTCTCTCTCTCTCTCTCTCTCTCTCTCTCTCTCTCTCTCTCTCTCTCTCTCTCTCTCTCTCTCTCTCTCTCTCTCTCTCTCTTTGCTGCTCTCTTTATCCTCTACTTATTCATTTTCTCATCTCATCTAAAAAGCATTTTCTTTCCTTCACTTCTCACGCTTCTCTTCTCTCCACTTCCTTAGCTCCTACTTCTCTTGTACCTCCCCTATTCATGTATGGGTTGAGCTCTATAGGCCTCGGGTCCCGCCTAGCAACCTTTAATCAACTGGTTCATGTGTTAACTAATCCTTTGGGGGTCCTGTCGTATCTACTCTGGAATCCAAACCTGAAGTTTGACGCCCCCCCATTCTCTCCCTCTCAGACTCTTCCTCTTCCTTTTTCCCCCTCTTCCTTCCTTCCTTCCCTCCCTCTCCCTCTTCTCACTACCATGATAGCCAAGTGATTCGACCTCTCAACGCGTCATCTTTTCTCCTATTCACCTATGCTCCCATTACCTTGCATTTGCTGGGACTGGACACTAGCAGCCACTTGTCAGACCATTCTTCAAGTTTGTCCGGGTCTTATTTTTAATTTCTTGCTGTCATCAAGTTATTTTATTCTCTAGGACGTAGAATCTCTACATCTATAAACAGGGTTCAGGAACTGAGTGACTAAATTCATGTAGAAAGCAAATTACAATATTGATGAACTAGTTTCAGGATTTCCTAACACACACACACACACACACACACACACACACACACACACACACACACACACACACACACACACACACACACACACACACACACACACACACACAATCACACACACATCGACAGTCTACTCACAGTATTCGTTAGTTTAGTTTAATGAACACAAAGTTACTGAGTCACAAAATGGGTTCAGGAACTGGACCACTATTTATTTTTATGGAGTAAACAGTTTACCTTTGTCGGGTATCTTGAGGTTATTTTGAGATGATTTCAGGGCTTTAGTGTCCCCGCGGCCCGGTCCTCGACCAGGCCTCCACCCCCCAGGAAGCAGCCCGTGACAGCTGACTAACACCCAGGTACCTATTTACTGCTAGGTAACAGGGGCATAGGGTGAAAGAAACTCTGCCCATTGTTTCTCGCCGGCGCCTGGGATCGAACCCGGGACCACAGGATCACAAGTCCAGCGTGCTGTCCGCTCGGCCGACCGGCTCCCTACTGGTTATTGAACTCATATTTATGATAACGTAATAAAGGAAGTATTTTATTAAAATACTGAACCTAAAGCTAGATTATATTAGTTCAAATTCAAATTCAAAATTCACTTTAAAACATTTTATTCATAGTTTTATATATTTATAACTGCGTTGGTTTACACAAAATTTCAATATAATTTTTTCAAAAAAGTTATAATAAAACCATAATAGTCATTAAATATATAATTATATTGTGTATAATATAGATTTAGATTTAGATGACCGATCACCGGCTCTACAGGGGGTAGATGGTCACTCATCGTCTCTACAGGGGTAGATGGTCACTCGTTGTCTCTACATGGGGTAGATGGTCACTCATCGTCTCTACAGGGGGTAGATGGTCACTCATTGTCTCTACATGGGGTAGATGGTCACTCACTTGTCTCTACAGGGGGTAGATGGTCACTCACTTGTCTCTACAAAGGGTAGATGGTCACTCATCGTCTCTACAAGGGGTAGATGGTCACTCATCGTCTCTACAAGAGGGTAGATGGTCACTCATCGTCTCTATAAGGGGGTAGATGGTCACTCATCGTCTCTACAGGGGGTAGATGGTCACTCATCGTCTCTACAGGGGGTAGATGGTCACTCATCGTCTCTACAGGGGGTAGATGGTCACTCATCGTCTCTACAAGGGGTAGATGGTCACTCATCGTCTCTACAAAGGGTAGATGGTCACTCATCGTCTCTACAAGGGGTAGATGGTCACTCATCGTCTCTACAAGGGGTAGATGGTCACTCATCGTCTCTACAAGGGGTAGATGGTCACTCATCGTCTCTACATGGGGTAGATGGTCACTCATCGTCTCTACAAAGGGTAGATGGTCACTCATCGTCTCTACAAGGGGTAGATGGTCACTCATCGTCTCTACAAGGGTAGATGGTCACTCATCGTCTCTACAAGGGGTAGATGGTCACTCATCGTCTCTACAAAGGGTAGATGGTCACTCATCGTCTCTACAAGAGGGTAGATGGTCACTCATCGTCTCTACAAGAGGGTAGATGGTCCTCATCGTCTCTACAGAGGGTAGATGGTCACTCATCGTCTCTACAAGAGGGTAGATGACCACTCACCGTCT